CTGAACCCTCTTCAGCCCCCTCAAGAGAACCCCACAACCCCACACCAGCAGAAGAACTGAGATCTACCCTATTTTTCACCAAAGATGGCAGAGCTGCTTCTTTCCAGCACCAGGGGGCATGACATGCTTGAGAAGGAGAGCACAGGAGAGGAATATACAGTTTAAGAGTGGGAATTATTAGGTGAAGCAGGTATATAACTCCCTGAACATAACCACCACTCACCCAGCTCCACTTCACAAGATTATTTGGAATCCTGTTAGGGCTGCATGTTGGTAAGCAGTCACTGTGGGGTGCTTTGGACAGTTTACACTGACCTCGACTCTAAAGAAGGCCCTATTAGCGAGTTCCTCCACAGGCACACCTGCAACCTGCCACTTTTCTTGTTGTCCAACGGTTCTCTCCCTCCCTTGGCTCTGCAAGCCAAAATACCCATTAGCAGTTAGTGGTAGCATCTGGGAAAGCTATTGACTGGCTCCCAACAGCAAGCACTTACAGCCGGGGAAGCAAGCTCCTAGGAGATCACTCACTTGACCATCAACTGCACAGTAGCACCCTGCCAGATCCACATCTCCTTTGTGTTCATGCTGGCCTTGACAGGCACTAACAAAGAAAAGGTCGAAGATTGAGGGACTGGCTGTTCCTCCCCACGTTTTGTTTGTACTCCTATTTTTAAAGCTTCATAAACCCTTTAAAAAAAGAAACAGCAGTGGTATAAGTCACAAGACTCCACAGGGCTATCCAGACACCTCCTCTCAACACAGCTCTCCCACACCATTTCAGTTCTGCTGTACACACTCCAGCCTGCTCCAGTCCAAGTCCACCGTATCAGAGCAGCACAGTCCTTTCCTGCAGCACATCCTACCCCCTTCTGCATTTCTTGTACAACACACTTCAACCGTGATCCACAACCGTGACTTCTGCTTGGTTTTGTCAACCTTTGGCTTTTGAGATCGTGTCTGTGTGGTCTGCCCACAGCCCCCAGTGATGTCCTGACTGCAGCAGTCACTCCTGTTCCTCTCTTCTGCACCCTAAACCCTGTCATGCTTCTTACCTGTCCCTTCCTGCACTACCACAGACCAGAGGATGCCACACCTTGGCCTGAGCCTTTCTGCTCCAAGCCACCATCTCAAGAGTGCCAAGTCCTCCCAACTGATGCATCTCAGTCTCAAATCACAGCAATTCTGTTCTAACCCCAATCTTCACACTCATGCACCGCTGCCACGATGCTCTAAAGCTGCATCTTTGAAGTACTAACTGCTCTTTTTACTTATCTGGCAATTTGTTATGGTCATAGAGGTGAAAAAACAGTGTCCACACTTGTCACTTATGATGTAATGAGGATTCCCAACAGCATTTTGGAGTAAATATTATCTGCCATACGCCAATGCACCATGCAAAAAACCAAACTTACATATGATGTCTCTAGTTTAGTGCTCTGGGTAAAAAAGGGGAGGAGTAACATGATCATGTTTAAACTATTTTGAACCTTCACAGTAACAGAAGTGTTGGTTTCATGACAGACCACAGACTATCACAGCACTGACTGCTGCAGTAACAGAAGATGCCTCATCCTACCAAACCCTCTTCACCAGTCAGGTGTGGCTATCCCATCGTTTACTTACTGGGCAGACCATCCCAAAAAACAGAGGAATCTCCCCTCCTGTACTGACACCCACGGCTGGTGGCCTAGACCTTCCTACCAGCTTCAGTCATCAAGTATTGAAAACCTACACAAATCTTTCAGACTTTCTGGGAGATCCCACCGCTAACAGGCTGACACACTTCCAGTACGTTACTCACTTGGGCGAAGGAAATGCTCTATTCCACAAACAAAGCAAATGTGAAATTACAACACCATTTGGATTCACACTTCCTCAGCACCTAACAATCAGAGCACTCGGTACACTGCAGCTCTAACTTCAAACTGCTCACTCCTCTGGCCATCTGGCAACTCCCAGTCTTGCCACGAATAACTGCCTGCCATGCACTGCCCATACAAAGCACTTACATTCTGAATATCACTAACACTGCTCAGTATATGCGGACACACTTTCTAGCATGCTCATTCACTCTGCCTCCGGCCACAGCAGCACCTCCCAGCCCAGCTCAGACCTCAGTTCCCATCATCCCTCAGCTTAGGGCTGCATCCCGCCAACGCACTTTCCACAACTCTTCCACCTCTTCAGATGCAAGCAGTTGTGCCCTGCCTGCTTTCACCACCCTCTGTCAGCTTAAGAGGCAGGGTATTGGCGAGAGCAGCAACCAACTTAATGTGAATTCCTTATCCACAGCAACAGATGGGGACGGAGAGCAGCCTGTCACTCACTGTCACACAGGAAAATACTCACCATCGGACTGTCACTCCTAGCTGTGTGCTTACCAGGCTCCTGGTACACCGCAGAAAGAGTCCCAATTAATTTTCAAAGCCTGTCTACTGAAAATCTAAATAATGAGGTTTGCAGCCTTGTCCCCAGTCTGGAAAGAAGGGAGATGATAGAAGGCCTGAGACTTTAAAGTCCACCAAAAAAAATAAGAGTAAAAAAAAAAAAGTAAAGCTCTCAGTCTTGAGGACTCTCTGCCTTCATCCCAGGGTAGCAAATCCCAGGAGCTACATTTTAAGATGATGAAGGTATGATCTAGCAGTGGAACTGGAAGGAAAGTAGAAGGTCAGAGTACAAGCAGCCCTGAGACCACTGACCCTAGTTCTGCAACAGCAAGAACCCCTTGCACTACCCCTAAAATTGCTACGAAGAGTGAAAAATTCCCCAAAAAAAGACCAAAGAGTTAAAAAAATAAATAAATAAAAGTAAAGCTCTCAGTCTGAGGACTCTCTGCCTTCATCCCAGGGTAGCAAATCCCAGGAGCTACATTTTAAGATGATGAAGGTATGATCTAGCAGTGGAACTGGAAGGAAAGTAGAAGGTCAGAGTACAAGCAGCCCTGAGACCACTGACCCTAGTTCTGCAACAGCAAGAACCCCTTGCACTGCCCCTAAAATTGCTACGAAGAGTGAAAAATTCCCAGGACCTTGAACCCCAGCAGCAGAAGCCCCAAGCTCCCAACACTGAAATGAGGGGGAAGCATATGCCGGCAGAAGCTTTGTGTGCAAGGAAAGCAGAGCCCTTGACCCCTAGATCAGAGAAAGATCTATGCAAGCAGAAATCTTACATGGCATGTGGTCCAGCCGCTGCACGTTCTTCTCTCCCAGAAGGGTATTTCAGGAAAAGTACATATCCACGGAGACAGACATCACAAGCAAAGGAGGGAACAGCAAACTCTTCTTGCAGCCATTGAAAATCCCACTCGGCAAAGGGAAGGACGGCATGGTGACTGCCTGCCAACAGAGCCGGGCATCGTCTTCAGAGTAACTCCCTCCAAGACAGCAACCTCATTTATTCATCGGGGCTGCTGAAAGCCAGGGAGCCAGGGGTCGTGACTCCCCCCTTCCACACCCCCCCGCACCCTCTGGAAGGAAATGACATCATCCCTATTCTGAGGAGATTGTATGTGAATTGTGGGAAGGAAGACAGAGCGAGAGCGGGCGATGCTGTCAGAGATGCACACAGAAGGAAAGCCCTCCAGCAGCGAGAAAGCCCTCCAGCAGCGAGCGCAGCAGCACAAACCTCCTCCTTCTTGCCACCAAGAAGCCAGCAGGACCGGGAGCACTGCAGCAGCTCCTCCCAGAGCCCCAGCAATTTGCGGGAAGCTCTCTGGATGCAACGGATGGCATCGGGCAACGCTACCAGAGCGGGGCTGGGAAAGGCTGAGGGCCGCTGGTTTCTCCTCTGGCATGTACTGAATGGCCAGGGGGAGGGGAATTGGATGGGACACAAAAGGGGCACACAGAGGGGGCCACCCCGGTGACAGAAAAGAGAGACTGTTCCAGAGGAGCAGCCTCTCCCAGGCCTTTTCAGCCTGTTAATTCCTTGTGACATGCTCTGGGGTATGGCAGGATGTGGGGGAAGGGGAGAATTAGCTGTCTGTAGGGGAAGGCTTAGAGAAAAGAGCAAGGGAGAAAAATGCTACAGCGAGACAACATTCCAGCTAAACCTAGGAGATTTAGTCTAATCCAACATCCCATCACATCTGACATTAGCCTCAGAAGAAGGCACACAAGTAAATACAAAGCTGAGCACAGCCACAGCTGAAGGAAAAGGAGAAAAAGCACTGTGTGCAGCTCTCGCACCCACACCACGCCAACACCCCGGGAGAGAAGCAGCTACTCCCCACCACCCAAATCCACAAGCAGGATTTGCTTTAAGACCACAGCATCACGCAGACACCCGAGGCACATTTGCACCCACACAGTCCAACACACTAACCCCCTGCAAACCTGCCCCAGAAACTCCTTATCCCTGGAAGCACAATGGCTTGCACACTTCAGCATCCCCACCCTGAGAACCCAAAAACCTCGTCCTGGCCCCCGCTCAGGATCCCGCAGTTCAGACCATGACTTGCTATTGCTGTCAAGCAGAAAATGGGAGGCCAACACCACACCAAAATTGCATCCCCCATAGTACCAATAGTTTCTTCTCACTTCAACAGACCACTGGTGATGTCTGCACAGAGGCAGTAGCAGGAAGACCTGCTTGCAACTTCACACAACCCAGGGATGACAAACCAATACTATCTCATCTGTGTTTATCTGTCAGCATCCTTTTTCAGCCGAGTCTCCCCAAATTCTGCCTCAGCTCTAGACTCCTACAGTATTACTCACCCAAACTCCCTCAAAATAATAACTGTTCAAAGCCTAGCGACAAGAGTTTCATCTTCATTGCTTAGGGCAACAGGAAGCCCAAAAGAAAGGAGATTTCTAGGTCTTAGCTGTGCAGATGGTTTTAGGAATGGCTACAGGACAAAGCCCTTTGCTGTTCTGCAGAAATCCAGCACCCTGTACTGGCACGCTGATCCTCCAGTGACACGCTCCTGCAGTACT